CTCCGCGGTTCGCTGGCCGGGTTCGGTACCGATATTGGTGGCAGTGTTCGGATCCCAGCTTCTTTTAATGGAATTTTTGGGCTGCGTCCTTCTGCAGGAAGGATTCCGTATGAAGGCGCGGCGAACTCCATCGACGGCCAAAACACCATTTTGTCGGTCATTGGCCCGTTGGCAACAAGTATTGGAGGATTGAAGTTACTTTTCAAAGCCATCCTATCCCAGGAGCCATGGCAGCACGACCCTCTCTCTTTGCCGTTGCCTTGGAGGGATGATATTGAGAATATGACGAAACAATCAATTTTGGAGAAGAAAAACACAGCTTGCCGACTGGCATTTGGTATCATGCGGCATGATGGACGTGTTAAACCTCAGCCGCCGGTGAAGGTGGCTATGGAATTCATGGAACGCATTTTGAGAGACTCGGGCCACCAGGTAAGCACAGATGAAAAATCCTATTGCTGCACAAGATCTAACACGCGTATTAGGTCATAGAATGGGACCCTAATTTGTGTCGCGAGGGCCAAGAAATTGCGGTATGTCGAAATCTGGGATGCATAGCTAGAGTAGTGTGCTGATGCTCCACAGAGCGAAACCTACGATATGGACGGTGGCGAAGACCTTCTGAGTCACATTGCCTTATCAGGAGAGGAACAGATTCCTCAGTGCTCCGTTGAACCAGTCAAACACTTCAATGCCAGAGAGGTAGCGGAACTCAACGTGCAGAAAAGGGAATACCAAAAGAAGTATATGGACTACTGGAACAGCACGGCCAAGTTAACCACAACTGGAAGGCCAGTTGATGCTGTCGTCTGCCCAACCGCGCCTCATGCAGCTGTCATTCCGGGAAAATACCGTCATACCGGATATACTTCGTTTATCAACACTCTGGATTATACGAGCTTGGTAGTACCTATATGCTGTGCTGACAAGCATCTTTCGTCCATGAACGAGCGGTCAGAGTTTCTGAGTGAGTTAGATCGGAAGATCTTCGAAGAATGTAAGTAGGCCTTGTTACGCCTATCTGAAGCGGATCCTGACCTTATTAGACGATCCGGAAATCTACCACGGAGCACCCATTGGACTACAATTGATCGGCAGGAGGTTGGAGGAAGAAAAGATCATCACGATCGCTGAATATCTTTCCGATAAAGTCAAAGTTTATACCGGACAATGAGAACTGGAGACTTCGTCCACAGATCCAGAATCAATCATTCGATGACTGCTTGTTTAGGTCCAACCTACTCAAGACGTACACCATGTGCGAAAAGCACGCTTTCGTTTGGCATTGATGAGAATATAGCGCCGCATTACTGATAGCGAATTGTATATAATGGCTTTAGTCATAGTCAAATCTAACTCAGCCTATATTGCCTCCACCCCGAAGGCTCCCAGAATGATAGCGCTTTCGGAGTTGAAGATCAGGACAAGCCTCAAATAAGGACAGGCCGCTGGATATCTATTCACCTATCCACGGCAGCCCGGCCAACGGAATAACTAACTGACCCCGTTGTGCTAACGGTACGGTAGATAATGTCTTCGTAGTTCGTGCTCAATATTGTGGTCTCGGCAACCAATCCTGCCATTCAATAGTTATACCAAGGCAACCTTTAGATCTACTGCGGGCCAGCATGAAGTGGATATCAGCGCAGTCCGTGCTATTGAGGAGTGCAGCCGAGGAGCGCATTGAAGGTGATGGCTGTCACATTCCAGGACAACATGATGAAGGTTGGTATTCCGAGGAACGAGAGCTACCTGATGCAGATGGTAATGAGGATGCCTAGAGATGTAGTAGGTGGGTCCTAGAAACTAAGCTCACGTTGGGATGACAATTGGCGTGTGCCATTCTTATCCCTCTTACTCAGGGCTATTCCATGCAATGTCCACTAGCTTTCGGAGATACGATATCCGTATCCCTTTACTGGACGGATAAGACTGCTTGCAATTTATTTGACAATACACTAGCTCGTTCTGACTATAATCATCTCCTGCTCGTATTTCTCAGAGCTTGTTACTGAACTTATACGAATCATTATATTGCCTGACGCAAAAGAAATGAAGCGTAGCAGCGGAAAAGGACCGAGCTTTCAGAATCACCTAGCATCTATCGCCTTCCTCTTACCATTAATTCTCTTATGGGGCCAGCTTGTGCATATTAAGGGTGGCCTACTACGTGGCTCTGCTGGAACCATTTTGCCAAATTAATAGATGCGAGTAATTGCACCTACCTTGGTCTGTTCCACAAAGTATCTCAGGAAATGCAACCTGCAACGATGCGCGACCGCAATCTTAGGCAGCCATCTCTGCTCTACAGGGATCACCTTTAGTAGTTTGGTCCTCGCTTGAAAGTTTAGTGACCCCACTCTAAGCTGCAGTGGCAGACTGTCGGGGAGAATAAACGCTTGTATGCTTTTGCCACGGCTCAAAACACATGGCACTCTCCACAAAGGAATGAAGCTGCATGTCCATAGAGTACCTGTAGAGTAGGTGCCACCGGCCACTGCTGCCTATATACATTGGTTCCCCCACCTTGTGGACACGCAATCTTAATTTATATCTTTTCTCCATTTGGCACTGCTTATCATTAGTTGGTGGAAAGATAAGATGATACAAGGTTAGATTAAGTGATGGGCCATCGTCTCCCCTCACCCGCAAGAACTTCGGGTCCACTCATAAGTGTGTGGCTGTGCTGTTGGAGCTGTAACAGTTGATGGCCCGAGTATTCTATATGGCATATGAATACTATACGTGCCCTTAGGCTGTGGTAATAGCCACCTGTTTACCATCCAAATCAAGACACCATTACCAAACACTGTTCATTGATTTGGTTCTGCCTGCTGGTTAGTGGTGATTGAAAAGATATGATCATGGTGTGTGGTGTGGACCTGGGCCCTTTCCCGGACGAAGCTTAAACGAAAGTGGAGAACCAGCAAAGTCCGACATCCAGGGATGGAGATTAGCGCCGAACCATGACACATAATCGGAGGCCCTGAACCCACGGTACATTTTCTATAATGCTAGTCATTTGACTACCTAGCAACCCCTCTGCACCACCGAGGATGTGATCAGCGCTGGCTGACGCGTTCTCTCATTAATCCTTCACAAGCCAAGCTCCAAAAACCTTGCTGAAGAGCTTCAGGCTCCAACCTGACAATGAGTTCGAGCATGAATTCGGCTCAGTAGTATCTCTTCAGGGGAGGGAAATTTCAGTACTCACCGCAAGGTCTGGACTTCACCTTCGAGATAGCTGTAACAAGCAGCCCACATTTCTCCGACATCGCGTTGACATTCCTACTCAGTCAGTTCGTAGGGGTTTAGGCATGGAAGATATATAAACTCCCATCCACCCTCTATCTTTTCATTCAGAATATCCTACACCCAATTGTCTTGTTTCTCGTTTACTAGAAGATTTCACCCGCCGCCATGTTCAAAAACATCGTCACCGCAGCTCTGCTCTCCTCTGCTCTCGCCAGTGCCTCTACTGCGCACACGAATGGCAAAGCCCCTTGTGCGAAGGTGCACATGATGCTTGCGCGCGGAACCACCGAAAGCTATCCTGGCCTACTCGGGTCTTTGACTGACCTGGTCATTGATGCTATTCCGGACAGCGATTACGAGAACATCATCTATCCTGCCACTCAGGAAGGATCGACCCCAAGCTATGAGGAGGGTATCTACAATGGCACTGCTCAGCTGAAGGCTTATGTCAAAGCTTGTCCGGAAACCAAGGTGGTGCTGTTTGGATATTCCCAGGTACCACCTCCCTGTCCATTGATTTATGTTTTTAATGAGTATCTTACTGACGCTCGGTAGGGAGCCATGGTTGTAAGCGACATGTTGGCCGGTGGCGGTGATAACGGAACCTTGGGAAATATCACCGCCCCTGCTGTTGATCCTGAAACCGGATCCCACAGTAAATGACTAACCTGGATGTACGTCAACAAGCTCAATGCTAATTATCGCTAGTCGCCGCTGTCCTTCTTTACGGAGACCCCCGTCACATGCCCAACCAGACGTACAACGTCGGTGATGTGACCGCTACTGGCGTAAGTTATAACCATAACGAATTGGAGGGTAAATCAGCTACTGATACTCTACCTCGAACAGAAATACCCCCGCACCCCCGAGCAACTTGCAGCCCTGTCGATGTACGCCGACAGACTCCACGACTACTGCGACGACAAAGACGGTGTTTGCGATGCTGCCGGAACCAATCTCTCCGCTCATCTGGCTTATGCTACCATCTGGGACAAGGTCGCTGCTACTTGGGTTGAGAGCATGATGCAGAAATAAGCTTTAGCTTGATTCGTGAACACGCGATACCGCAAAGGGGGATCGTTCACCGGGGCCTGGGGCCGAGAATTTTTCTTCAGGGGGTGATTAGGTTTCGTTCTTGTAATATAGCAAATTTGCACTTCGTGACATAATGGCAATGTACCATATGTTATTATACTGTCAATATGTAGCTTACAGACCAGAACACAGGCTTCTTAGTCCCAAGTCAAATGGAACACGGGGTGCTATCGTACATGCCTTGTTGAATGGCTAGGTGAAAACCTGATTCGTTATTCAGGTACTGCTATGAACTAGTAAACTGGTCGGACTGCAGATGGCCGCGAGCTAAGCCAGTCACTGTGTAGCGTTGCCTCAGACTATATCTGGAAGTGGGATAGACGCGCAGATGATTAGGGTCCACATATTGGAGGCGAGTTCCGAAACCCGAATGCCGAACGCCGCGTCTCCACTTTATTCCTAAGGACCGTCCCGTCTTCCTAACAAGTATTGGGTTGCCACATCAGGACTAGTCAGAAGATACTTGAATTTGGCTAAAGCTAATGAAATATAATCTTTCAGGCCTAGATAGAGAAGAAGATCTCTATTGACCACAATATCGGCATAGTATAACCAGGTATTGCTGGATCTGCCCCTTGGTCGGAATGTCTATTACTTGGTGTGCCATTTAGTGAGTTTACCCATCTGCTTGATCACTAGTATTACAATGTTCACGGATTCCACAAAGTCGAGTTGAACATGTTAGATATGTCGGTCGTAGGTGGCATGTACGTTCCAAGTAATGTTTGGAGCGGGTCTTCAGGATAAAATAGTTGGTCTGGTCCAGTGGCTGAGAAAGCTTCGATGTCCGGGAGAATGAAGGATTCTTCATTCTGTGTCGAAGTCAAGTCAGCGAGTGACGTGGAATGAAGAGCATATTGGAAACATACCGTTACCTGGTTTGGATCGAGAGCAAATCCGGAGGAGTCGTTCTTCTCGCCTGTCATTGGTACTGTATTATCTGCCTCGAGGCGTGAAGTCCTTCGTGAGTCTGTGGTCTGCAGCCTAGCTTGTACATCCCGCACAAATTGACGAGCAATGTGAGAAAATTCAGCAGCAGTTGATGCTGGTAGAGAATCCCTGTTACTGATTTCCCAACGGCTGAAATAACCGGCTGCTATGTCCAAGAACGAGATATTGGTGGCCGTCTCTTTGTGGAATGGGTTATGAATGACAAAGTCAAAGATAACAAAAAGAGCGGAAATAGGGACGATGCCTAGTTGCCTATTACAATTAGGATTTGCGATAACATGGACCCGGACGCTATCTCTTACCAGGCTGGAACGTGCGCCTCATGCTCAATATAACGCGTATGGTATATAACAGCTCGAGCGGTCTCCATCAGTTGACGCTTGGTCTCTTGATTTGTCTCGTTCGCTTGGTCGCTTGTAAGATGGATCCGAAGCCGGCACATAGACATAACCAAAGCATAGTATATGAACCGTATTTGCAGCGCCATATCTTGCGCGCAGGGGCTCTTGCCCTTTGAGAAGCGAAGTGGGGTTCCGGGCTGATAGGGTTCGGGGAGAGTTTGAATCCAAGCTTCTAGCTCGCGAGACATCGAGTCTACAGCCGCGATGCGGGCAGCTGTGTGCATCTGGACTGCACTCACGGAAAAGAGACATTCGTAAGTGCGAGACATCAGGCGACCCAGGCGCGCTGTCGTCAATAGCCAATCAAGCTGTCCCGGGGCAGTCTCGGAACATGCTGGAACAGGACAGCCTATGTCGTAGTCGGGTATCATCTACCACTCTCATTAGTCAAGAAGGCATCGGAATGTAAGTACCCTTACAGAACCACGTCCTCGGAAAAAGGAAGTGACCTTTTCCAGCCAATATATAACCCAGAAAGCTCTATGACACAATGATTCATTCTCTGTTTGAACGTATGCGGCGTTATATCCCTGCAATTGAACTATTCTCGCGGCCTCGGACATCAAGGTCTCGCCGATTGGAATACAGGAGAAGCTCATTGTGAAGACTGCCTATGATTTATTCAGCGAAATGAATGATGTTTGCATTACCTTCTCGGCTCACCATGGCTGCCAGTGCCTGGTTGGGCTGTTAGCTTGAATCCAGGATAGGGTGAAGAATACGCACTTGGACATGAAGTAAAGTTTGAGGTGGAGCAAGTATTCTTGGGAACAGGCTCAATGCAAGCTGAAAGTAATTCCATGCTTTCCCTTTGCCTGGAACAAAAGATCCACCATCCATATACTGGCATCCAAGTGCCAGCAAAGTATGATATAGCGCACAGAACGGCGCATTATTTGCTAGTAACTCCGGTAATTCTGGCCCCGAGATTCTCCGCTCAAAGTCGGCTCGGTCAAGAAAGGGTGTCAAGGGATGTAAGTCATCAAAATAAACTGATTCTACCAGTTAGACCGTTGACCCACAGCAACAAAGATAAGCATCTGACCTTTGATATAATGAGCTGCCTCCTCATGGGAGATTTTGATTGGTGATGCGGGAGTGCTGAAATCGATGCTGATACCATGTGCATGCTGATACATAGCTTCCCCCATAGCATCGAGGACATCTCTCAATCTGCCGTGACCAAGCATATTGGTTAGGGAGTGGATGTGGCTCTCCGAAAAGAAGGCCATGCCAGTACTGAGGACTGACCCAGAAGTGAGCGGGTGCTATGACAATGGCAGTAGATGGCTGAATACCTTGGTTTTCACGAGCCTGCGCATATTAGTTGTAATCGGAACAGAAGCAGAAGCAGAAGCAGAAGCAGAAGCACCTCACCTTGAACATGGAGCATGCCTCGCGATTCCTGCCATCTGCATTCTTATCGACGAGAATTTGATCAACATAAGATGCCGAGGCATCCGTGGACACAGATGCAGCTGAGGACGCATTGTGATTTGATGGAGGTACAGTTGCTACTCAAATATATATCAGCATCGAAAACGAGGCCTCGACTAATCATGTCATGTACCTGGACTTAAGGTGTCTTCTGACTTCTTTGGCCTCAATTGTCTGCGTGTCAGGCTATAGTGACACTCAACTTTGCGTTTCTATCAAACCTCAAGGTTCATAAGCGTCATATTGATCACATCTTTCTGGAAACCCGAGCACACCGCTGAACCCACCTGGCAAGGGGTGCAGACTGCGCTGCTTGAAGGGCCTACCGCGCAGGATTAGTCGGCTGCCCAGGCTACGGTCGTCAACTGGAGACAGGTATGTGACATATGGGGAATAAATTTGTAAAAAGAACTAGCAAGCGGGGACAGAGCTGGACTCACGTATGCAGCGAGTTTTCCTGGCCTTGCAATTGTCGCAAGACTTCGCAACGCGGGGTTGAAGCCTGTCGGTCATTGTTGCGCCTCGGATTACGGGAGTTGCAGGACGAAGACCGATGATGGCACCACTCTACGGCACTCAGAGCCAAAGATGGCAGCCCGGGAGCCCCCATCACGTGATATCGGCTTTCGAAAATTGACCCACCACGTCCTTCGGCTCTCGATTCGAAGTCCGGCTGAACGGATGTAAACAAAAAAAAAAAAAAAAAAAAAAAAAAAAAATTGTTCATGGTAGTAAAATCCGGAGCTGGATTAGTACCATTGTCTTGGTGTTTCCTTCGAAAAGGGGATGCCAAGTCAGAGTTTGCCGCAAGACGTATCCCGCAACTAATTTTTCATAGAATATACTACCGGATAGCCACAATAGCGAGACACCACGTTCTACATCCCAGACATCGAAATTACTTCCTCCGAATGGCTCCGAGTGATATTGCCTTACAGCAGGAGACTGGCTTATGATATTACAGAGGCTGTTACTGTAGTCGTGGCCGACGGTGCCGAGGTGTTTCGTCGGTTTGCGATCAGAGACCTCTAGATCGGACTTATTCGGGCGAGCAAGGGACTGTACAAAAGCACTGCTAAATAATTCCACAATTTACAGGTATGCAATCAGACTGAAGCTTGACTCTGCCAACTCCTTAACACATCCAAACCAACTTATGGCAGGAACAATAAGAATTACTAAGTCTATTATAACATTAAGGCGAAGCGTGGTGCATCGTCTGAAAGGCCATGTGCCGCCTACCCCCACAAAAACCCCCGTCGACACGACAAAAGATGAAAGGTCGCTACTCGGACCCGCGAACGCGAATTACCAGCTTCCCTATTCCTCCCCGACCGCTGTACACAGTCCCACAAGCCTTTCTCACGGCTTCAATGTCTTGTAAGTCGACGACTGTTCCCACCACTGTTTTGAGTCTCCCGTCTTCGACATATCGCCTGAGTTCGTCCAATTCCTTACCAGACGATACAAGAAACATGTAGGAATACTCCGTCTTGTAACGGCGTGCCCTGACCTTTCGAACCTGATCAGTGAGATTGAGCCCCATCCGAAAGGCGAACGGAATAGTGGGTTTGTGAGGCAGGTCCATGAGAGGTGAAGCCTGTAGCTGATTTCCAGAAGGTAGAGTCGAAACTGATACAATGCGGCTTGAGCCTGGACGCATCAGACATAGGAGCTCCATGGAGAGGCCAACAGTATCAAAGAGAAAATCGATTGTTCCATGTTCGATCACATCTCTGGGATCGGAGTTTGTGTAGTCGATGACTGCGGTAGTTTTAGAGAATGCTGCAGAGATGGCAAGTGACTGTAGGCTCTTACCCTGATCGATAGTGTTTTCACCCAGGAGTTCTGCTAATTTTGGGATTTTTGCAGTCGAGACTGTAGTGATGACCTTACCCGCATGGAATACGTGTTTGGCAAGTTGGCATGCAAATAAGCCGGTACCGCTCACTATATTTCATTAGCATATTTAGCAGTCTATGAGTTTGATAGGGTGTCGAACATCCGGCAGGCACAAAGACAGTTTTTCCGGCAAGGTCGCCACGGTATAGCCGAAGAGCTTGGAGGGCGGTCATCGCTGCTAATGGAATTGAAGCTGCTTCCTCAAAAGACAGCGATGGCGGCTTAAGACCGATATGTTCCTCAGAGCATCTGATAAATTCGCTGCATGATCCTGTGATTTGATTTCAGTAAGGTGAGCTAACGAAGATCGAGTACAAACTTTCTTACCCCGGGAAACTTCGGGCAAGCGAATATAGACAGCGTCTCCAACCTGGAACTTCTTCACGTCTCGACCAATTTCTTGAACAACGCCAGCACAGTCATAGCCAATTTTGTAAGGAAAGCTGACCCTATTAGCATCATCTTGATTGATATCAACAGCTCATACGCACGGGTCTTTCACTGCGAGTTTCAAAGCGCCATCGGCTCTCTTGACGTCAATAGGATTGATGCTAGCGGCGTATACCTTGACTATCACATCCTTTGAGTTGACTAGAGTTGGAGTGGGCAATTTCGAGACCTGATACTCGGATGGTTTCGAGTAGGATGATATATTTAGGGACAACATTTCCATGATGAGTATTAGTGGAGGTGTAACAGTAAATGGCAGAAGGAAAGGGGATGAAATAAAGGCAGTTTAAACTGCGTACTGAGTGTACAAATGGTGCGCAAGGAAGAAGGGGACCGAGGCAATATATGATTATATGTTCCTTTTGAACGGTTCTCAGGAAGCTTCACAATGTAGCAACAATCGTTCCGAATGACATGGAAAGGCTATTCCCATGTCCAGTCGTCATTACGAGAGTTGGAAAAGGGTCCAAGTGGACTCGCAAGCCTGACTCAATGCGGTTAAGCCCACTGCGGTACCAAGGTGATGTACCCGCATGCCCACTGGACCCGCACACCATGAGATATCCGAGTTATGGTTCCCGTCGCTCACATAATGCGTGTCTGCCAGTGGCGAAGCTGATTTATAATGTCAGAGGTAAAGTCTAAATTTGAAAGTCACGATCCCGTATATGGTCCTCTCTGGTAGATTCTATAACTGCACAGGCCAGGCCATTTTTGATTCATTGGGGTTGCTTATGCTATAGTAATCGTCTATGTCGTCGGGAGTATTTTCCTGGATCCACCCTGCCTTCATTTCTCCTCCATGACTAATGAACGTGTCGAAACTACGGCACCCTATCGAAGGGAAAAATGAAAAACAATATAATTAAAAGTTACTTTGAAATATATATTTTGAAACGCGTTCATAGTGTACCCTCGCGAGCTAGTCAATGGTGGCTTCATATGCCAATGTAGAATGGTATCGATGGTCACCTTGATAGAGCCAGCGTTTTCAGGAAGCTAGATTGGCACATGAAAAAGACACTATCCCAAAGTATCACATAGGAAAGCTATTGAATTTAGGATTTAATAAAGTCAAGCAGGTCTTGATTGACTTCATCAACATTAATATTGCGAATGGCATGGGATCCGCCTTTGTAGATCTTCAGTTTTCCTTGAGGAAGAAGTTTTGTTGACTTCAGCCCCGCTGCCTCAATGGGAACCACCTGATCGTCGTCCCCATGTAGAACCAGTACTGGTATATTGATTTTCTTCAGATCTTCCGAGAAGTCCGTTTCAGAAAAATCCTTGATCGAGTCATACGCGGACTTGAAGCTGGTGTTCATCCCCTGCTGCCACCAGCTACGAATCTGTCCTTCGCTTTTCTTTGCGCCAGGTCGGTTGAAACCGAAGAATGGTCCGCTGGGAACATCCAAAAAGAACTGCGCACGGTCTTGACGCATGGCCTGCCGGAAAGAATCGAAAACCGACTTATCTGTTCCTTCTGGGTTGCCGCTACTCTTCACCATCAGAGGAGGTACGGCGCCGATCAAAACAGCCTTTTTAAAGCGCTTAGTGCCGTGTTTTCCAAGATAATGGGTGACCTCTCCTCCTCCATGAGAATGTCCAACCATGACCGCATCTTGCACCTTGAGATGCGCGAAAAGCTCCTCTAAGTCGTCGACAAAGGTGTCCATGTTGTTTCCGTCCCAGGTCTGGGTTGATCGTCCATGGCCACGGCGATCGTGTGCAATTACCCGGTAACCGTGTTCACCGAGGTACATCATTTGTTGTTCCCAGTTGTCACTGCTCAAGGGCCAGCCGTGGGAGAAGGTCACGATTGGTCCTCTGGGATTTCCCCAATCCTTGTAGAAGAGTTCTGCTCCATCACGAAGCTTTAGGTGCGGCATGTTTGTGAGAAGTAATGGGAGTAATAATAGGTAATTCGGACAGACTTTCAATGTCTGAAACTATCTGACTCTTATGGATTGACGGACTGGATTGTGTGTGTGCAAATTCACAGCTTTATAAAATCAGCTGCCCAGCTATGCTGGCCTAGAATTGTTGAGCTGTAACTTCCTCCCGTACGTCGTCATGACGTTACTAGGCTATTGTAGCTTCCCAATGTCACACTCACTGTAATGCGTTCCATGGTACAAGGTTTGTCCGCCCGCTGCCTCTTATTCTCTCAACCAAGTCTCAAGGTGTCTAGTCATCACTTGCCGAAATGCGAAAGCTTATTTAGTGGGCCGGTTGAGGATCCAGCCGTTCCTGCCGCCAAGACAGAGTTGCCTAGAACGTTAGCCCCACGTACAGCTACTAGCCTTCTTCCTGTTTCCATGCCATGACAAATGAATATCCAGTACCAGAAAGTCCCTTCATATGTGCCGCCGGCATGATGTTGCTCCGTTGTCGTGGTTATCGGAACTATCAAACTCAGTTTCATAAATTATATCGGGCCTCGGTAGGATTTTGCTTGGTTTTACCCATCGTCCGCCTCAGTGTTCCTCACATGCCAGCTTTATCATCGCAAGCCCACCCACAACCGACCTCCGAGATGGTCATAGAGGGGCGAGGAGGGATCCCAGGGCATATATCAACCCTGTAACCACCTACATCAACCAGCGCCTAGTATTGAAATTATCAGATCCTGGTCTAGCGTTCGACCTACCGGTAACATCATGTCTTCGACATCAGACCGCTTTTCAGCAGCATCAGAAAAATTCACCACAACGTATGTGAATCAAACATCCCTTTTTCCGAAGCAGTAATGACTCCTATTTGAGGGTAGACGCTCGGCATCACAAACTGTTCAGGTCGAATTCGGAGGTCAGAAGGTCGATATACCCAAAGGAGGTTACTATGACCGCTACCGTATGAACCCGAACCTCGATGAGGTAGCCCAAGACCCGAATGTGGGACACGATATTACATTCCTGCGGAAAATCCCTAAGAAACTGGTTGATTCGAGGGTCGGTCAAGTATATGCACCCAATTTCTACTATCGCACTAGCAGCGTTCAGCTCGTCATGCTCGCGCCTCTTGACCAGTTGAAGTCTAAGCTTCCGTCGCCTTTGGAGCCCATCACAGCATTGCCTGGCTACGGTTTAGTTGCATTGACATTTTATTCGTATCTGGTCTGCGATAATGATCCTTACAACGAGGTCTCGATCGCCATTATCATTCGACAACCGGGTAGCACGAGTTACAGTTCCACACAACTTCTCAGCTCTATATGGAACCGCACATTCTACGGCTATGTCTTGGCTCTTCCAGTCGATACCGAGATTGCTCGGGTGAGGGGAATATATGGATATCAACTCCCTAAGTGGATGGCCAACATTAACCTGAACATGGACAATCACAACATCAAGGCCGATATTAGCGCGACCAACGGAACACTAGATCTGACACTGGATGTACCCCTTCCAGCGTTGAGGACCATTCCGTCAGAATCACGAATTGGGACTAATAACGCGGTCAACAAGATCGACGGGAAATGGTACCAGGTGGCTGTTCAGACGAACCCCCTTTTGGCGACACAGTGTCTTTTCCCTACCAATGTCAAGCTCGTTCGGAACGAAGGTCCTTTGAGTCAACTCCTCAACGAGCTGGGCGTCTCGACTATTGTGCGGATGGATGTTATTAAAGATGCGCAGATGGTCTTGAATATGCCCACTCCATTGAAGGTTTTTAACAGGGTTGGATCATTAGCTTAGCAGCAAAGTTTGTCGAAGGGTTTAATATTTGAGATGTCATTCTTTCATATCGAGCTAAACAATAAATTTCTAAGGGTTCAAAAATTACTAGCTTCCACATGGTTCAAGTGCAGATTGATTGGTACGTCGAGAGTCTCACAACAGAATCGACCGGGAGAGTATCGTTCTGAAGCATATGTTAATACCGACCAGGCCACCTGGAAGCACATATGACATGCCCCTTGCTACTGCCCCTGGGACGTGCTACAAGCCAGGTAATAAAGACTCATTGCAAAGGCCTTCCTGCAACTCTACAACGTCCTGGCTTCTAGAATCAGGTCCCATTTTTGCTAGGGAAAACTTGAAAAGCCACTGCAATATTCCAAAAGTCTACCTACTGACTGTCCTCAGATCTGCTTGCACCTGCTGATTTGCATACGCTCAGACGTGAAGAAAATCGGCGAGTTAGTGTGTGCATTACCACCCCCGCATTTCACTGCAACCTACTACCATCATTGTGGAATTCGACACGGAGCATGTTCAGGAGATCTGCCAGATGTGCTGCCCGTTCATGATGGTTGGTGCACTCCGTCGCTCCTCCGCCGCCACAAACAGCCCCCGCCAATCACAGCCCTGGAGTAGATTAATCGGGAATATTTGGAGTAGGTTGCATACAACTAGCACGCCAGCGCGCGAGCGGGGTTAACTGTTAGCTTCTCAGCCCAGACTTCGAAGCTATCCTCGTGGAATCTGGGGTAGCCAAGGTTAACCAAGTTCAGACCAGTAACCTTGTGTCATAAGGATCAGTACTTCCTCCTATGCTTCAGTGAGTGATTTCTGAGTGAATACATTACGCAGATAGGATCGGTTAACTACGTTCCCATTTCTCGCCATAATAGGGACAGTTATGGATGGGTATCCTCTCTTGCGGGCCAAAGCGGAGTTCCAGCCCAGTCCGACCAGAAGACTGTGCAGGGACGTATGACCTCTCCTGCGGTCAGCCACAAGCGCTGCGTCCCTGAAGACAGGACACTTTGAATATGATCCCGAGGTTGACATGTGAGGAATGCGGTACAACAACAGCAGGGTCAAAAGCGGTTGCACCGATTGCGGCCCTGTGGCCGAAATTGTGACATCGTGGGTTGGAATAGCGACACAAGCATCCGTGGCTATTTTGTATTAGTGGTGCATCACCTCCGCGTTGAAACGAGCGTGAGGTACAGCAAAACCAATTCTTGGAGCTATATAAACGCCCACATTGCCTGACATTGTGACACGGAATCAACAAGTTCACTCAAGAAATCACCCATCTGTCTTACCATCTCTCTCCATCATGATTTGCAATTCCTTCCTCGTCGTCGCACTGGGTCTTGGTCTCGTCCAAGCAGGCCCCGTCGGTAAACGTGATGCTGCGACCGTGCTGTCGGATCTTGAGACTATTGGAACAGATGTTACTACTCTCAAGACGGACGTAACCAACTGGACCGGAGACCTTCTGGCAGCTCTAGGCATTTTGTCCGATTACAACACCGTCAAAAGTGCTTTGGAGACGGCCATCACTGACACCGAGGCTGCCTCTGCGTTCACCACTTCGGAAAGTTCCAGCATCACAACTGAAGTAACTTCGCTAGCCACAATTATCATCGCAACTTTGGATGAGCTTATCTCGAAGGTATGTTCCATAAAGTCGGCGAGGTTTCTGTGATTTGTTGTTGCAGGGCTAATGTGCACTTGTAGGAGTCCACTGCGGCATCCGCGGGCGTCACTTCCACGTTGCTCTCCTCCTTGGAGACACTCAAGACCGACACGGACGAGCGGGGGGCGGACCTGGAGGCAAAAGCCACCACGACGGATGCGTCAACAATCGCCTCGACTCTGGCCACAATTGATGCTGCTTTCTCTAGTGCAATTGCCGCCTATGAGTGAACTCCCGCGGCATACAGTTGTAAGGAATGGCAAGGACGTTTGGGGCTAGTGGATTGCATAAACTGCCGCTTTCTCTGCCATATCCCAACTGCTGAGGACGAGAATGGTGAGCAGTCCATGTATTTAGTGACAAATTATCATTGAATCGAAGAGGCTTCCCACTTCGGCGCAAATTGCAGACGATGGATTCGTAATAAGTTTAAGCCCAAAACCTTATATGTAGTGCGTAGTCGAACTGTAAGTCTGGTTGAATGATAGACAAGAGGTTCTTACGTATCGTCGTAGTCATTGGATCGATCATAAAGCTGTCAACAGGGATTGAAGTGACTAATAGATGACGATAGATAAGTGAATTTTAAATGGACGGGTGGATTAAACTAGTAGTAAAATATTTGCCTGGGCGGATTCTAGACCCGCCAGCACGGCTATTGATCATCCAGTGATGCGCAAAGAAAACGCCGAGATACCCCGAGATACCCCGAGAAGAAACTTCTGTTTCATTTTGAACATTTTGGGACTCGATAAAAGCGAATCAATAGCGAATAGTTGAGATTACTAAGACGATAATATACATATAAATCTATCGACCGTGACAAGACACAATATTATCATGGCACTGTAGTAATATTGTAAAATTCTACTCCGCATACGCCCTTCCCAAAACGTGAAATTAGGGGGGCAGTTTGCCTCTCACTATGGAATAAGTGGGTCACTGTCAAAGCTGTGTTATTAAATCGAAGATAATATAGCACGAAGTCCGATGACCGTACACTATATGAGGTCACATGATATCGGCTTTCGAAGGTCGGGTGGGCCCACATCTTCGGCTCTCGATCCCAACTCCGTTGCAACAGCAAGTTCGGGAGCCCGACCAAATCATAGCACCATTTCAGTGGGCAGGGTACTGCAGACACGGGATATTACTCTTACTATCTTTGTATTTCGCTCTTCGGAAAAGGAGATCCCGATTTCGAAATTGCCGAGAGATGTCTCGTCACCGAACAATGATTAGTGATACAATATATTCAGGAGGAGGGTCGTTAGCGCCACGATGCCTCAATCATCATGACAAGCCTGTTATATATGTGTTCAAAGACCGCGGAACACCCTCGGCTGAATTCTCTTCTGTCTTAGTGGATCTAATACATCGATCAGCATGCTTACAGCACCTGCTCCTGAGGGGCCTGGCAATGAGGAAAAAGAACACCATGATTCCACCAGCACGCTGTCCGGACACGAGCAAGAAGAGCTCAGGAAAGTAGCGTCTCGACAATCAGCAGCATCAACCGCAGCAGGTAGAAGCTTAAAGCAGGACTTTGCATCGCTCATAGACCCCACAAGTCCTCACTTCGACTTATCCCAATGGATGCTTCATCAAGTCCAACAATTCGAAGGGGACAGCAGCGCACGGAAAACGGGAGTTGTATTCAAAGATGTTACTGTGCAGGGAAGCGGAGCCGAGATTCAAACTCAACACACAGTTCTATCCTCAGTCTATGCTCCTATCCTGGGGGGTACGTTCAGTCGTGGCCCAAAAACCGCCAAGACGATTTTACACGATGTTCATGGAAACGTCGAGCAGGGCGAGATGCTTCTCGTGCTCGGCCGGCCAGGAGCTGGATGCTCTACCATGCTGAAAACCATTACAGCGGAGACGAACGGACTCGATCTGTCGTCAAATTCAGTCATTTCTTACAATGGAATACCACAACCCTTGATGAAGAAGAATTTCAAGGGCGAGCTTCTCTATAACCAGGAAGTTGAGAAACGTAAGGGTCATTCAATTGATCATTCAGGAAAAAGGCTAATTGAGAGACAGATTTTCCCCATCTAACGGTCGGCGAAACACTCAACTTCGCAGCAGCAGCACGTACTCCTCGACTTCTCCCGAATGAAATGTCGAGAAAGGAATACATCAGGCATATAAGGGACGTTGTCATGGCAGTCTTCGGTCTGTCACATACCGTCAACACGAAAGTTGGTTCTGATTTTGTGCGGGGCGTCAGTGGAGGTGAGAGAAAGCGAGTATCTATCGCAGAAATGGCCTTGGCTGGCTCGCCACTCTGTTGTTGGGATAATGCTACACGCGGCCTTGATTCTGCGTCATCTTTGGACTTCGTCAAGGCGCTGAAGACGAGCTCCAGGATTTTTGGTACTACTCATGTTGCCACGCTTTACCAACCCTCGCAAGCCGTATACAATTGCTTTGACAAGGTTATGGTCCTCTACCAAGGGCATGAGATATACTTTGGCCCTACCACGGAAGCGAAGCAGTATTTTGAAGATATGGGCTGGTATTGTCCTGCTAGACAAACAACCGCAGACTTTCTTACGAGTATAACTAACCCAAGTGAGCGGCAAGCACGGGAAGGTTATGAAGGGAAGGTCCCGCGGACTCCCGAGGAGTTCGAAGTGCACTGGAGGAGCAGCGCGAGCTACAAGCGGCTGGGTCATGACATCTCAAGCCACGAGGCGAGATTTGGTGCTGACTGTGGCGCGACCGAAGCATTCAAGCAAAGTCATGCCAAACGTCAGGCTCGGTACGCACGGTCAAGCTCCCCGTATTTGATCGATATCCCGACACAGATTGGGATATGTGCTTCCCGGTTTTACCAACGCGTCTGGAATGACATTCCTTCCACATTAACTTTGATGATTGGACAGATCGTTTTTTCCATCATCATTGGGTCGCTGTTCTATGGAGACGCGTTCGGAACTGAGGATTTCACTCTGAAGATGTCAGCATTGTTCTTTGCCATTCTGCTTAACTCACTTTTGACCGTCACCGAGATTCAAAATCTCTATGCTCAGCGGCCGATCGTTGAAAAGCAGGCTTCGTATGCTTTTTATCACCCTTTCACAGAGGCTTTAGCGGGTGTTTGTGCCGATATCCCTATAAAAGTCGGATGCAGTCTTGTTTTCAACATCGTGTTCTACTTCATGTGCGGGTTTCGATACGAGGCTGGTCCATTCTTTGTTTTCTACCTGTTTGTCACCATGGCTCTGCTTTGTATGAGTCAAATTTTTCGCTCCCTGGCAGCGGCCACCAAGGCGATCCCTCAGGCACTCGCTGCTGCCGGAGTCATCCTACTCGCCACTGTTATCTATACCGGCTATTTGCTTCCCCTGCCGAGCATGCATCCTTGGTTCAAGTGGATCTCGTACATCAATCCACTGAGATATGCATTTGAAGCGCTGGCTGTGAACGAATTCCATGGACGTGACTTCCCCTGTTCGGACCTGGTACCACTCTACCCCGGGTTGACTAACGGATCAGGTACCTACTTTATATGTGCTGCAAAGGGTGCGGTAGCTGGAGAGCTATATGTAAACGGAGACGACTTTCTCTCCGTGAGCTACGGGTACGAATACAGCCACCTTTGGAGGAATTTTGGTATTCTATGCGCTTTCATCATCGCTTTTCTCGCCTTGTATCTGTTACTCACTGAGATCAACTCACAATCTTTATCCACGGCGGAGAGTCTTGTCTTCCAACATGGTCGCATTCCCGTTGCCTTGGAGAAATCTGCAAAAGACCCGAAGGCCGCCAATATCAGCGCAACCCAAGGACAGGAGACGGCAGACGACACGGTTATGCCACCACACCAGGACACATTTATGTGGCGTGACGTCTGCTATGATATCAAGATCAAAAAGGAGGAGCGCCGCTTGTTGGAGAAAGTCAGTGGATGGGTGGAGCCTGGCACCCTGACTGCGTTGATGGGTGTCTCGGGAGCTGGAAAAACAACCCTACTGAACGTCCTCGCCCAACGTACTTCAACAGGAGTCATCACAGGCGATATGCTAGTAAACGGCTCTCCTCTCTCTGCTAGCTTCCAGCGCAGCACAGGCTATGTTCAGCAACAGGACTTGCATCTTCATACTGCGACCGTTCGTGAGTCTTTAAGGTTTTCGGCCCTGCTGCGTCAACCTAAATCAGTCCCCGTCCAGGAAAAATACGACTTTGTCGAAAAAGGTATTTCCAGATTCTTTCAAGTGCTCTAAAAATTTACTAAAGTAGTTCTAGTCATCACCATGCTCGGAATGGAAGAATTCGCAGAAGCAGTGGTAGGCTTTCCGGGCGAAGGGTTGAATGTCGAGCAACGGAAGCTTCTGACAATTGGCGTTGAGCTTGCCGCAAAGCCCGCTTTACTTCTCTTCCTCGACGAGCCAACCTCCGGCTTGGATAGCCAGTCTTCATGGACTATTGTTGCGCTTTTGCGTCGGCTCGCATCTAGTGGACAGGCTATTCTTTGTACGATTCATCAGCCATCAGCCATGCTGTTTCAGCAGTTTGATCGGTTATTGTTCCTGGCTAAGGGCGGTCGTACCGTTTACTTTGGCGATATCGGACCAAATTCTCGTACAATGCTGGATTACTTCGAGACAAAAGGTGCGAGAAGATGCGACGACTCAGAGAACCCAGCCGAGTACATTCTCGAGATTGCAGGTGCAGGGGTGAATGGCAAAGCCGAACAGGATTGGCCGACTGTGTGGAAGGAAAGTCCTGAATATACCCAAATGATGAGTGCTCTGGAGAAGAAGTGCTCAGCGGTGGGATACACGAATCATACCGACAAACAAGCTGAAGCAGAAGGAACCGAAGACGCCTTTGCGATGCCTTTCAAGGTCCAGTTCGCTGCCGTTCTCCGCCGGATCTTTCAACAGTACTGGCGGTCACCCTAATACATCTATGGCAAGCTGGCCTTGGGCATCCTGTCAGCCCGTAAGTTACTCTTGCCCTTAAAGCACCATTGACCTTTGGCTAACTATCGTTTCATAGTCTTCGTAGGCTTCTCGTTTTACATCCCCGGTACCTCTCAACAAGGCTTACAATCGTCCATTTTCTCCGTGTTTATGATCACAGCAATCTTCACCGCTCTGGTCCAACAGATCATGCCGCAATTTATATTCCAGCGAGACCTTTATGAGGTCCGAGAACAACCGTCGAAGACCTACCACTGGGCAGCCTTCCTAGGCGCCAATCTAATAGCAGAGATCCCTTACCAAATGTTCGTCGCTATCCTGGTCTATGCAAGCTTTGTATACCCCGTCTACGGCATCGCAGACTCCCAGCGCCAGGGGATCATGCTCCTCTTGATCATCCAGTTCTTCATCTACGGGTCGACCTTTGCGCACGCGGTGGTTGCCGTTCTGCCTAATGCCGAGACAGCTGGTCTCATTGCCACCATGCTGTTTAACATGACACTTGTCTTCAACGGAATCCTTGTTCCTCGCGTCGCGCTTCCTGGATTCTGGGATTTCATGTATCGCATCTCGCCAATGACCTACCTCGTGAATGCCATCATCGCCTCGGGTGTGAGCGGTCGTGCGGTTAACTGTTCCGAAAAGGAACTTAGCGTCTTCAGTGTTGCTCCTGGTTATAATACCTGCGGGCAATACTTGGAAGCCTACCTCGAAGCGGCCGGTACTGCCGCAGGTAAGCTTCTCAACCCGGAGAGCACAGACCAATGCAAGTATTGTACGCTTCAAACCGCTGATCAGTTCCTGGCGAGTCGGGATATATACTATGACCAGCGTTGGCGGAACTTTGGGCTCCTTTGGGTCTATATTGCATTTAATGCAGCCTTTGCTTTTGCTATCTACTATCTTTTTCGGGTGCGGTCGTGGAAGAGGAAGGCTTGATTGGTATTTCGTTCATTGTGGATGTTGGTTGATAGAAGTTGAATTTGGTCACTTTCGGTGAGGTTTATAAATCATCAAACACCGGTCTTACACATAGTATTAGTTTAATTAGTTACAATTCACTTCTTACTTTCATATCCTGTTCGCCCACCTAGTATATAAGCTAGAGGTACTATGTCATCTGAAATAAGATATATAGTTCTGGCTACTACTCAATACGATAAGTTGAAATGCTTATTCTAAGGCCATGACTTAAGAGTGGGGTGTAAATGAGGGGTCGAGGCAGGAGGTTCCTATGACTAGGAGCACCTAGTATCAGCCTTCCAAGTTGCCGACCTAGCAGCACAGATAATACTGCTCCTATTGCATACAATGATGCATTGAGAGGGTTGTTCCGCGTTGGTTTGATCCCGACATGTTTGAGTGTCCTCGGGGCTGCGGCCTTCGAGTGGAGGAGATGTGAAGAAGCCGACAGAGAAAGTCGCTGCAGCAAAGGGAGACCAAGAACCAAAGTGCGTCGATATGGACGCCCATGAGAGAGCAAGAGATTGAAACTCGTGTCGCTATGAAAGGGCCGACTGAGCACTGGTTGCCAACATCGACTTCTCCTCGGTTGGATATAGCACTTGAGCTATTCTGCGGTGGAAGAATAAACAAGTTGTATGATGCGACCGTCGGCTTCTTGTATCTTTAATCCTAGATCTTACCATGGCGCTTATACTGGATTACCAAAACCTATTACCTACTTTGATCCCAGTTTTGCTGAGTAGCGAAAGTGCCACAGATGATATATCTTCGGTCGCTGTGCCAGGAACCAGCGGCAGACCACCCCGCAACCCCTGGCGACTACACCCCAACAATAAAGTTAAACTTCTTACAACCTGTACACATTCATCGGAATTGACATCATGATTAGGGGTGAAGTACGAGATTCATCGCATCTGTCCGATATTCCGCGCCGCGGTACATCAACATTCATGATGTCATCACGGAAGACCGGGGACACCAATGCAACGCTGCTAACCCTATCAACAAAGACTTCAACCCACATTATTATCCTACCATTTTTCTGTAAAGAACGCCTAATTGAGCACGCTGGTGGGGAAGATATTTCTGCGACACTATGATAGGGGTCGCAAAATGGCTATACGTGGCTGTGACGACGTATTTCCACAGATTGAGGCCGGTTAGCCATGACTATCCTGTGTTGGTCACAAGGGATAATGGTACGAATGGGAGTGTGTCGTCGCCTATCACGTTGACTGTTCAGGAGTCGGGTGGGAATCAGTCTAGTCCGCTGCTTTATGGGGTTATGTTTGAGGTAGGTTCCGCCGGGGGCATAATGAATACATTAGTAACATTCGCCTAGGAAATGGACCATTCAGGTACTACCCAATTAGCTACCTCACCTGGTAGAATACTACTAAGTATACACAGGTGACGGTGGCATTCACGGGCAATTGCTCCAGAACAACGGCTTCCAAGGAGACAATCCTGGCTTAACTGCATACAAGGCCATCGGAGATGTCGACCTCATGCAGGATATGATCAACCCGGTCAGCAGTGCCATCACCTCTTCTTTGCAGGTATCTGTAAATTTTGAAGCAGATGGATTTGTAGGATTTGCCAATACAGGGTACAATGGCATACCTGTGATGAACGCCACCTATTCATGCCAGTTCTGGATGATGGGTGATTACTCAGGAACGATTATGCTACAGCTTGCTGGATCAACGAATGATACTATTTATGCTTCGCATAATATTACCGTCAGGAGCTCGTGGGGAAAGTTCACGCATTATCAAACCTCGTTCAATTCCAGCGCTTCTCCTGATGGTGACAATGAGTGGCGCCTGCTATTCAATGGATCGAAGATGGCTGGCGGGACGCTGAACTTTGGGCTGGTGCAGCTATTTCCGCCTACATATAAGTCGAGGTATGTTATGCTGTACATTATCAGTGTCATACTAATCGGTCGTAGGTCAAACGGACTACGAAATGATGTTGCGACGTTCCTAGAGAGAATACGTCCGTCTTTTCTGCGATTTCCAGGTGGCAATAATTTGTGAGTATCCACCCTAATTGCGAGTATCCTCTAACAAGTGGATAGGGAAGGACTGCAGATCGACAGCCGGTGGCAGTGGAACCTAACTATCGGGCCCGTCGTTGATCGTCCCGGGAGAGAGGGTAGGCCCCAGCATCGACATCACGGATGACAACACTAATCGATGTATAGGCGACTGGTTCTATCCGAACACCGACGCTCTCGGTAAGCCTTTTGCACCCTCTCACCCCACGAGAATGTGCTAACACATATAGGTCTGGACGAATATTTCTGGTGGTGCGAAGACATGAACATGGAGCCTATCCTCGCCGTCTGGGACGGCAAATCATACGGGGGCATTGTGTCCGGTGACGATCTCCAACCATACATCGACGACATCATGAACGAGCTCGAAGTATGTCTCCCATCAATCACCACTATTCTCCCCAGCTGACAATAAAGTACCTCCTCGGACCCGCCAACTCTACCTATGGAAGCATGCGAGCACAAAACGGGCGCAGCAAACCCTGGTCAATAAACTATATTGAGATCGGCAACGAAGACGACTTCACCGGCGGATGCGACACATACCCAGACCGCTTCTACCAAATCTACAACGCCATCAGCAACAGTTACCCCAACATCACCCTCATCGCATCAAACATCGACTTCCTCTGTCTCCCGATCGACCCCCCACCCGGCCTGATATACGACTACCACTACTATCGCAAACCAGACGACCTCGTCGCCATGTTCGACTATTGGGACAGCCAGCCACGCACACAACCAATCATGGTAGGTGAATACGGGTGTCGAGATACCGGCGAGGCAGATGGGATATTCTGGTCCTCTATGCAATGCAGCTGCAGTGAAGCGGCGCATATGATTGGTTTGGAGAGGAATTCCGATGTGGTGAAAATGGCGGCGTATGCCCCGCTGTTGCAGCATTTCGGGTATACGCAGTGGTCGGTGAGTTTGCCCCCTGTACCAATTTTCGTGTGTATTTATGCTTCGAGCTAATGAATGTCAAGCCAACGCTCTTCGGCTTCGACTCCAGTCCCGACTCGCTGACTCCCTCGACGTCATACTATGTCCAACGGATGTTCTCTGCGAATCGAGGCGATACTATCCTTCCTGTGAATACAACTGCCACGTTTGGACCGCTGTATTGGGTTGCGTCGAGGACGAATAGTACGTATTTTGTGAAGTTGGCTAATTACGGTCCCGAGAATCAGAGCGTTCGGGTGAAGGTGCCACATACGAAAGCTGGGCATGTGGAGATGCTGCATGGGTCGCAAAATGCGACAAACTTCGTGCATAATATTACTGTGCAGCCGACGGTGAAAAATGTGACTAGTTCGGGGGGAACTTATTCCGTGGATATGCCGCCGTGGGGAGTTGCTGTGTTGTCGGTGTCGTGATGGGTATTACTGTGGTATGCCAGTTTTTGATATCGATCAAGTATCTACAAGTCTTGTTCTTTACTGTGTAGTGCAATAGATTAAGTTATCTTGCGGTGTAAAACGAAGGATTAATGTGGATTAAAAATAATCTTCGTCTAAAAGTATATACTAAATGGAGATCGCTTTTTAAACGTCCCCTTGCATCTGCAACCTGAATAATATACAGGCAAAGTCACCAGTGACTTAATACGCTTAGTAAATGGGCACCTTGAAGGCGGGGAACTCGTAGTAGAAAGTGTCAGCACCCTCGTCATCAGACTCACACTCCCACTTGTTGCTCTTCCAGACGGGACGCTTGGGGAACTGGCACAGGGACTGGACCTCGCCGTCGTACTTGCCAGCATCGACGGTGGCGTTCAGACCGGTAGGCTGGATACCCTGCTCAACCCACTGGATCATGGTCTCCATGTTATCCTCGGGGAAGGGACCGTTGGGCTGGAGAGTGTTGCGACCGCAGTGAGCAGCACCGGGAACCAAGTACAGCTGGTACCACTCCTTCATCTGCTCGATGGCCTTGGAGGATCCGAGGCTGGGGTACATGATGCTCTTGACAGATTGCCAGTAGTGCACGGAAGAAGCAGTAGGCACACTGGGGTCGTTCTCGCCGTGGTAGTGGATGACCTTACCGCCGGTGGCCTTGAAGTTGGTCAGGTCGGGGAGGGTAGTCTGCAGGGTATCCATGTAGCGGATCATGGCCACGTTCATCCACTCCACAAGGGTATCGTAGGTCACGTTGGTCAGGGAGTCGAGGTTGCTGAGTTCAACGAGTTCAATGAAACGGGTGACGAATTCACCACCAGTGGAGGGAATGTCCACGCCCCAGGTACCGGTGCTGTTATCATAGGAGGTCTCGCCATCCGAGAATTCAGATCCGATGCGGTAGGACAGGTAGGCGCGCTCACCAGCAGAGTTGAACAAACCGTCATAGATAGCCTGAGCAACGGCCACACCCTTGGCAGTGACGGTGCCGTTCTGAGCCGGGGTGTAGGAAGTCGAGGTACCATCGCTGCGCTTGTCGAAGTTGAACCCGAGGGAGGTACTAACTTCAGCAGCGCAGTAGTAGGACTCACCGATAATGGAAGTCATGTTGAACTCAAGCTGGCAGAGATCGGTACGGGAGACGACACCGTCGGTGCGTCCATCAAGAGGATCACAGGCAGAGATAGTGGCGTTAACAATCTTCTCCAACTCGCAGGTGGGAGGGTAGTAATCAAGGGTCTGCTCGACCACACTGGAGAATAGGTGGTTGACCTGCTGCTGGCCGTAACGGAAGGCAGGAGCACCAATAATAGCACCATCGTACTGGTCACCGTAGCGCTGGATCTGGCTCATACCCTGACGGCCACCGTCGGAGCAACCCTCGTAGTAGGTATAGACCTTGGCGTCGTCGTCCAAGCCGTAGAAGCTGCGAGTGAGAGGCTTTCCAATGGTAGTCATCTCACCCAGGGCCTGGTAAGCGAACATGAAGATCGGGTCCCAGTTGATGGTGCCAT